GCCTGCCGGGAGTTATCCCCAATATCCAGTACCAGGTCATTCCCCAGTTCCAAACCATCGACGGGCAGCAGCTCCAGTTTGCCACCACCCCTGCCCAGGTCAACGTGCAGCAGGATGCCTCTGGTCAGCTCCAGATCATCCCCGGCACCAACCAGCAGATCATAACGAGCCGAGCGGGGACGAGCAACCTCATCGCCATGCCGAACCTGCTGCAGCAGGCCGTCCCCATCCAGGGCGTGGGCTTGGCCAACAACACCCTCTCAGGGCAAACCCAGTACGTGGCCAACGTCCCCGTGGCTCTCAACGGCAACATCACCCTGCTGCCTGTCAACAGCGTGGCCGCCAGCCTGGCTCCCACCTCGCAGACGGTCACGCTGAGCGGCTCCGGCTCTCCGGACAGCAGCTCCCAGCCGGCCACCTCGGGCGCCGCCGTCAGTTCCACCAACACGGCCACGTCTCACGCCGGTTCCGGCGCTTTTTTTACCAACGCCAACAGCTACTCCACCACCACCACCACCAGTAACGTGGGCGTCATGAATTTTTCCACCAGCGCGACGGTGGGGACCAACGTCCAGGCGCAGACGCCCCAGAGGGTCGGCAGCGTCCAGAGCTCGGACTCTCTGCAGAGCCAGGTTTCTGGGGTGGCTTTGCAGCCGGGGCAGCAGAAAGAGGGGGAGCAGAGCCAGCAATCGCAGCAGCAGATCCTGATCCAACCTCAGCTAGTCCAGGGAGGGCAGACGATCCAAACCCTCCAGACCAGCCCGCTCTCTGGCCAGACCTTCGCCACTCAGGCCATCTCCCAAGACGCCTTGCAGAACCTGCAGCTCCAAGCTGTCCCCAACTCCGGCCCCATCATCATCCGCACGCCCACGGTGGGGCCCAACGGGCAGGTGAGCTGGCAGACCATCCAGCTCCAGAACCTGCAGGTTCAAAACCCCCAGGCCCAGACAATCACCTTGGCCCCCATGCAGGGAGTCTCGCTGGGGCAGACGGGCAGCACCAGCACCACGCTCACCCCCATCGCCTCCCTCCCCAGCGGCACTGTCACGGTCAACGCTGCCCAGCTCTCCTCCATGCCAGGCCTCCAGACTATTAACCTCAGTGCCTTGGGAGCGTCGGGGATCCAGGTGCATCAGCTGCAAGGGCTGCCGCTGGCCATCGCGAACGCTGCCGGTAAGCGGGTTTGTCTCGGTTCCTTTCCGTAGCCAGGCAGAAGGAAGCCGAAGGTGGGACGATGTTGGGGCTCTGCGGGGTTTGGGGCGCTGGCGTGGCCGTGCCGGGGTGGGGGATCGATGCCAAAGCGAGCTGGCTGGCGCTGGCCCTGGGAAGGAAGTGTTCAGCCTCTGCCGCTCGCTGGAACTCCTTTTGGGGGGGGCGGGGGGGAGTTTCTCATCCAGCCAACTCTCTTGGGAGCCTGAGCGTGTGAGGAGAAACGGAGGGGATGCCCGTGAGCGGGGAAGGGGGGAGATGTGTGGGGAGGAGAAGGAG